TCATGGAGAAACTGAATGGAGGGAACATTCCTCAACATAATAAAGGATATATATCTATATATCTATGTGTGTGTGTGTGTGTGTGTGTGTGTGTGTGTGTGTGTGTGTGTGTGTATGTCAAAGCTATCACCAGCATCATGTTAATTGGAAAATAATCCAAAGCTTTGCCACCAAGATCAGGAACAAGACAAGTGTGTCCACTTTCTCCATTTATTCAATATAGTGCTTGAGATCTTAGTTAGATAAGAAATAAAAAGAAGAAATGTAAAAACAAATACAAATGGAAGAGGATAGGATGACCACGTGTAAGTCCATAAAACTACAGCTGCCTACTTTTTGACAAAGATGTTAAAAATACATGTGGGAGACAGGATGGCATCTTCAACAAATGCTGCTGGGAATTCTGGATATCAACATACGTGAGATGAGGATCTATGGAACTGGATCCTTGTCTAATTCTTAGTACAAGATTCAACTCCAAAGTTAGGACTACTACTACTACTACTACTACTACTACTACTACTACTACTACAAAAATCTATTAAAAAGCTAGAGATATGGACTGGGGGAGAAGAAGTGAGAAGGGCGGGAAAGATGGGGCAGTGATATTTGTCCAAGGCTTTTGGCTCATAAACAAGAAGGATGAAATTCAAGTCAGCAGCCAGGCTCCAGCCTCCACCATCCTACTACACTCTAACCATTTAGGGAATCCAGTGTTCAGGGTTTGCTTCTATAGATGAGGTTTGTCATGTGTTTTCATTATACTTCATGTTTCTAGAATTTTCTAGTCTAAGATTATTCCTAAGATCTGCCTCACCTTTTTGCAGAAAGTTTTCAGTATCTTTCCTCATGATGTACTTTCTATGTTCCTTCCTTTGAAGGCGACAATTGGTTCCCATCTGCAAAGCATTTGTTCAATCACTTTCCATTGTTCACTGTGCTTATGAAGAGTGTTTGATCCTAAAAATTACATTAAAAGTGTGTAGAACCTAGTATTCAACCCTTCCGTGTGTGTGTGTGTGTGTGTGTGTGTGTGTGTGTGTATGTGTGTGTGTGTGTGTGTGTGTGTGTGTGTGTGTGTGTGTGTGTGTGTGAAGGAGAGAGACAAGGAAATAGAAAAGGGATTATTTGACAGGGGAAGGGGACCAGGTGGGAGGAGGAGAATGGACTATAGCGAGTGATGGGAGCTGGGCAAATACGCAAATACGAACAAAGTGCAATGATGTACATAAGTGGGACTGCCCAATGCCACAATTGCATCTATCGTTTTATGTATTGACTAAAAGTGTTGCTTTAAAAAACTGAAAATATCTGGGAAATACCATATAAAAATTACAAATGAAACTAATTTTTTCAAAGCTACTAAAGCAAGCTAAGAAAATAAAAACAGTAAGTGAAAATTTAGCTTCAACCCCCTTTTTCTCCCAGTACTACACGCATTGACTGAGAGGAAGAATCAAGTAGTTTCCTGTAACAATCCACCCATGAAACAAACAAATAAAAATTGCAGTCTTCAGGGTTTGAGGTGGGGAAAATTGATATCCAAACCCATTAAGAGGGAGGAAGGGTGCTGGAGAGCAAACAAAGAAATGTGGCTGAGTTCGAAGTGGTGGCTTCTTTGGCTGTTGGTGGGTTCTGCTCTAATGACAAAAGGGTCTCCTTGTTGCAAATCCTCAGTGGTTATTGATTGCATGAGTGGTGATGGAGAGCTGGGGATGCAGCTGTGGTGTTTGACAGGTAGTGATGGAGAAGTGGGGATGCAGCTGTGGTGTTTGCACAGGTATTGATGGAGAGTTGGGGATGCAGCTGTGGTGTTTGCACAGGTAGTGATGGAGAGTTGGGGATGCAGCTGTGGTGTTTGCACAGGTAGTGATGGAGAGTTGGGGATGCAGCTTCGGTGTTTGACAGGTAGTGATGGAGAAGTGGGAATGCAGCTGTGGTGTTTGACAGGTAGTGATGGAGAGCTGGGGATGCAGCTGTGGTGTTTGACAGATAGTGATGGAGAAGTGGAGATGCAGCTGTACTTGCTCACAAGATTCCTGGCCTCATTGCCTACCCTGATCCTGCTGCTCCCAAAGCAATATGTTACAGTTAAAAATGAGAGTTTTCATAAAGTCATTCAAAATACCTTTTAACCCTTCACTTTCAGCAAACATTCTGTGTCTCATACAACCAACAAACAACTGTTCAAATGAGCATATTTAACGTGTGAAAATTTGCTTTTTTTCTGATAGATTACTCGCATAGCTTTTTATGATTACATCTGGATCTATGTTAGTTTAGAAGTATTTAATGTTAACGTCCTTCTTGGGTGTGGAAAACATCCATGATGGAGAGTTAGGCATAAACTCGATTGCCTTTTAATCTCCTCTAAGATACATGAATTGTTCTTTATAAGTAAATACCAATTAAATGGTGCCCGCTCTCTTAATTTTATGGGCACCTTGTAGGTGAAACATCTAAGAAAGAAGCGGACTGTCACAAAGATCCTAGATTTATTTATTTATTTGCTTGTTTGTTTGTTTATGTATTTGTATTTTAGGTGCTGAAGACGGAGCTCTGCCTAGCCCATGCTAAACAAGTGCTGGACCACTGAACTACTTCCCAGCACTGAGTTGGGTTTGTTTGCTTGCCTGTTTTTACTGCTGAACTCTGTTGCTAACAGACAAATAAGGCATTGCTAGTGAAGACAATACAATATCTACAGAAGTCTTTATTACTGGCATTGTGTGTTTGACTCAGAAAACATCTCCCAATTAGACTATGCTTCAATAAGATGTCATGGTAGAGTGTATCTCTTACTTGGTGAAGAGTATTTGTGTAAATGGTTAACTTGCACTGGGTGACTGGGGATACACTTGTTCTCACCTATAGCTGTATTTAAAGTCATGTGATCATTTTTGGAAAAAAAAATGTCAATGCTTGGACCCCACCTTTGAGATAATCTGATTCACTTAGATCCAAAAAGGTCATTGAACTATATATTTTAGATCCAAATTCTAGTCCTTCCTTTGAAAATAATCTGTTGCATAATGATCATAAAAGGTCCTTTGCTGGCTCTTGGTTAAGGTCCTCTCATCTTGAAAATGTAAGCCTGAGCTCTGTGCTCTCCTACACCACCTGTGTCTGAGTCCTGTGTTAGCAAGATGGGGCCACGCAGATGTGATTTTAAGTATTGAACAAGATTAGGCTGTGCTTAGAGGTACTGACTGGAATATTCTGGCTAACTAGCATAGGTCCTATCTCAGGACATGCTAAAGTAGTCCACTTTATGAGCAGGCAACTCCAGGCTTCTAAAATATAGACTTCATCTCACCAAGGATATTTGTTTTGTCATTTTCCCCTTTGTTTACAGCTGGTGAAACATGATCTCTTCAAGAAACTTTGTTAAGATTTAGAAACTAGAAAAACTGATCCTTCTGTGTACTGAGACATAACTGTCTTAAATGTATGACCTAGACCATATTCATGAAAAATCTTCTTTGTCTCCTGAGGAAAAATAGACATACTTAATATTAGAAGGTGTTTTAGTTAAGGTATCTATTGCTGTGATAAAACTCCATAGCCAAAAGCAACTTGGGGTGGAAAGGATTTATTCCATCTTACAGCTTGTAGTTCAGTATCTAGAGAAGTTAGGGCAGGAACATGGAGGAGAGGAATTCTGCTTACTGGCTTGCTCAGCCTGCTTTCTTGTAGCACCCAGAATCAACAGACCAAGGATGGCATCACCCACAGCTAGGTAGGCCCTCCTACACCAATCACCAATCAAGAAAATATTTCACAGGCTTGCCCACAAGTCAGACTGGTGAGGACATTTTATCAATTGAGGTTCCCTCTTCTCCAATGACTCTGGCTTATATCAAGTTGACATAAAATGAGCCAGCACAGAAGGGAAATTTCAGAATTGAAACACAGGTGTTATGCACTTTCTATTTCTGCTATATTTAAGTTAAGCATATTTCCATGCCACTTTAGCTCCAGCTTTTGATACTTCTGCTTACTGATTGTCTAGGTCAACTTTCTTCTTCTTCTTCTTCTTCTTCTTCTTCTTCTTCTTCTTCTTCTTCTTCTTCTTCTTCTTCTTCTTCTCCTTTTCCTTCCTCCTCCTCCTCCTCCTCCTCCTTCTTTTCCTCCTCCTCCTCCTCCTTCTTTTTTTTTTTTTTTGGTTTTTGGAGACAGGATTTCTCTGTGTAGTTTTGGTGCCTGTCCTAGATCTCGCTCTGTAGACCAGACTGGCCTCGAACTCAACAGAGATCTGCCTGGTTCTGCCTCCCCAGTGCTGAGATTAAAGGAATGCGCCATCGCCACCCGGCACAGGTCAACTTTCTAAGAAAACTACATCTTCAATATTCCTTTTTCTTGAAACCTTCAGTTATCTCCTCAGTCCCTGAGATGTTGTTTATCACACCATACCTTCATCGGCATAAAACTTAGCACTTCTTCCCATGTGTGGTGTTTGATGCTTTCCTTCTTGAACTGGAACGTGAGTTCTAGAATGCAGTCACCATTTCTCTTTCAATCCTGTGTTCTCTGTGCTGAACGTGGTGTGTAGTGTGTACAGGCACTCTGTACTAACTATCTGATGAATAAACTGACTGGTAAAGGTACACTACCTGGGAGAAATGTGTACTTATTCTACTCTATACAATGAAAACAGAAGCGTAAGTTGTCATTTTGGAGGCACTGCTAGGGAACCAAGTGGGCACTAAACTGAAAAGCATCATTAATGGGTTTGTTCTGCTCTTGGACTAGAACAACTCAAGGGGTTTTAAATCAAAGTAGTTTCTTTTATGCTTCTAAATCTTCCATGGGCCAACAAGTCATCTACATTGTTCTTCACTGAGGCTTTGCAGGTAGTCCTGCCTCTTGTCTCTTTCTTGTCTTCTTTACTGAATTATTTCTTTCCTCTGCCCCAGTGTTGCCCAATCAGTTGGCAAACTCCCTGAATTCTACCACGTTCCTGTATGGTTCACCATACTTATGGGCTCATCTGCACATACTCAGAAACCCTCCACTTGTGCCGCTGACAGCCTCGCATTCCCTTGATGTAGTCGTCTGAACTCCCTGGGCTGCAGGAGCTTCCGTGTCCATTTCTATCTTTAATTCCTACTCAAGGAACATCTTCAGAGCTGTTCTTCTGCACATTGTCTTTGGTGTTCTTGGCTTTTGTTTTTTAATTGGATATATATATGTACAATATATTCTGATCATGGTTTTTCCTCCTTCAGCTCCTCCCAGATCCGCCCAATCTCTCCACTGACCCAACTCCAAGCCCTTTCTTTCTTTCTCCCTTTAGAAAACAAACAAATAGGCAAACAAACAAACAAAACTATATTAAATCAAACAAATAATATTTTAAAAACCACTAGACTTACTAATTATAATGACAGTAATATTTATCTATTATATTCTTTATTGGCCTCCATATTTTGGTTCTTCTTTTCCTCTTGTGTATGATCCTGTTTTTATATACTGAAACCTCAATATAGTTAAGTTTTGCTTCCAAAACTAGCTTGTTTAAAAGTCTTGATGTTGCAGGTTTGTATGGTTTTTATTCCATCTTTGAATAATCCATTACTTAGAGGGATTTGTATTGGAGAGGCTGCATGACACACTGACAATAATTGTGGATTCTTAGCTACCGACACTTGCTACAGACTTACTACAATTGGAGAGCATGTCTCATCTAGAAGGTGAGATTTACAAAAACAACAACAAAAAAAGAGTTGTGAAGACTAAAATACAAGGAAAAAGAAGTATCAGGCCATGGACTGACAAACAAAAGATATTCAGTAATTATCAGCTGTTGTTCGTATTAGTGCTGACTTTCAAGCCGCTGTTGTGGGCTGTGATATCTCAATGGTAGAGCACTTGTTGTGTGTGTGTGTGTGTCCAGTGTTTAAGTTCCACGAACCCACCACACAACACACTGATTTTCTTCAATGAGAGATTCTAATATTGTTAAAAAATGATCTTTGTGGTGTCTGGATATCCTGCTGTCTCTAGTTGGGTGTCTAACATATAGAAGGCAGTTAGCACATAGTTAGGGATTACTAAAGCTAAATTCCAAACTATAAATTATAGGAAGAGAAGGAAATTACATTTGGACGAGGTTGTCCTATATCTGATGGTGATCAGACATCAGAATGTTAATAATTATTGCAACTGTAATTCCTAATGCATTAACCATGTGCTCATTATCTCAACTAGCTCCTGGACCAGTTTTGTTAGACACCTGTGATGCAAATTTAGACACAATGGTAGAGAAGAATGCCCCATTAACCATTCCACTTAACACCACTTCTTAACATCTGTCAGTATTGCCCAGAAGTCACAATGTTATTGATGGGTTTGGTTCCAATGACCAAAAACGTATTGAGTACTTTAGACATTCCTCAAAATATTGTACTACTGAAGACTCCACAACATAACTAAGCATGCCTAGAAAAGTGGTCAGAGATTAGATGAATCCTTTTGAGAAGACACTGCACAGCCAGAGGAGATGAGAAATCCACACTACTTCCATTGGTAACTCAGCAATTAGGAACTGAGAGCCATGTGCATCACAGAAAAGGTCTAATCACATTTGATGGGCAAAACATGAAAATTAATGCAAAAGTAATACTGAAACCTGAAAGATGCTTGCAATGCTAGTAAGGAAAGAGAATAGTTCAACAGATAAACTAAATTATTGGTCATTCCCAGTTTTCTTTTTAGATTTGCTTGTGCATTTCTGATTCATGAAGGAGTTAGTAACTCCAGTGTAGGGCACATTATGGGCCAACTATTCAACAGTCTTAGGTACCAAATTAAAATATTTTTTGGATAGTGACAGGAAAAAACAGCGTGGACCTTAATAATAAATAATTAAAAAACTGCTAAAATAACCTGCTGAGACTTAATGCTTTACTTGCTATACAAATTCTTGTGTTCAACTTCATTAATTAGCCTGCACACTTGTTCAATTTTACTTCACTTTTTAATAGAGTTCTATCATATTACATGAGAGTTCAAGGTTTGTCATTTCAGAGTCATTTCAGGGAGACAGCAAGATAGCTCAAAAGGTAAAGATGCTTTCTGTGCAAGCCCCATCTTCTTAACTCCTGGAACTCACATGAAGGTTCAAAGAGGAAACTGAACCCAGAGACTTGTCCTCTGACCTCCACATGCATGCTGTGACACCGAGACACCCCAGACACACCACACACACATACCACACACACACACACACACACACACACCACACACACACCACACACACACACACACACACACACACACACACACACAAAACTGAATGATACAAGCTTGCCTCTACCATCCTAAAAAGTTATTTCACCAAAAATGTAATGTTTTTTATGTTTTTCAAGCATTTTGTGGCAAGCACTTACTGACTGACTGAGCCATCTTCCCAGCTCTAGCGATTTTATTATTTATTTACTTCATTTATTCATTTTATATGGGGAAAGGAGCCACGTGTACACTAGCATGCATATAGAAGTCAGAGGACAACATAGAGAAGTTGGTTTTCTCCTTCTACCACATGGGTCCCAAGTTGTCAGACTTGGCAGCAAGCACCTTCACCCACGGAGCCATGTGGCTGGCATGTGTGTGTGTGTGTGCGTGTGTGTGCGTGTGTGTGTGTGTGTGTGTGTGTGTGTGTGTGTGTGTGTGTGTGTAAAATGTCCAGTTATAGTATGTATGCAAGGTCAGTGTTTTTCTTGGAGAGTGTATCACAAATATGCAAATATTACAACCAATATTAGGCACTTCTTTTGGTTCTGTATGCATTGTTTACTTTCCTAATAAGAACTGTGAGAAGGATAAGAACTATCATGGCTGCATTACTTCCAGAGCCTAACAATAGAAGGCTCAAAGCCATGGTACATTTACTAGGTGCCAGCTATTGTGCCAAGACCTTAGGTTAGCAGCATAAATCAGTGTCTCATTTTATTGGGATAAATTATTGTTTTAAAAGGGTCACTTTGTTATCTCCATGTCAATGTATGAAAGGCACCTTCCTAACTCTTAATTCTGGCTTAGGCCTTAAGACGCGCTGGGCCAATGGGATATAAGCAGAACTTGAGACTCTGTGATGGAGTTCCTTTATTGCCCCTCTGCTATCACCATGAAAATAATGCCTGGACCAGCAACTGTCCCAGAGAAGGGGTGAGAGACATGTAAAGCAGAGCTGAAAACCCCAGTAAGCCCACCTTCAGCGGAATTCCTGTTCGTGAATAAGCCCATGAAAAATCAGTAGTTTACCACTCCCCCCCTTCCCACCCCCCCTCACCCTCCCCTCCCCCCTGCAACCCTCTGCAACTCTCTGCTCTGTCTGGATCTACAAATTTGCAGTACAATTTTTATTTTCGTTTAGTTCAAAGTATTTTAAGATTTCATTTAATCCTTCCTTGGTTCGTGTGTTACTTGGAAATGTACTCATTATAAAATAGTTGAGGATTTTCCAGTTATCTTCTTGTGGTTAATTTCAAGGTTAATTCCTATGCCCATTTTAAGTATTCCAAAGCCATAATAAATTCTGAACATGCTTTCCCCTTAGAATTTATTTTGATGAACCTTTCATACCCATTTCTACAGTTTTTGGGTATAGTCTATAAATGTCAATAAGATTACATTGATTGATAGTGCTCTTCAGATAATTATGTCCTTACTGATTTTTATGAGTGAACTCTCAGAAACACAAATAGATACATTTGTGTCTCTCCAGGGTTTCTAGATTCACTGGCTAATATTAAATACACAAGGTAATTTGGTTTTGTTGGTGGCAACTTGCTGAATAGTGCTGATTTCCCTTGATGATGGGAATCAAGGCAAAACTGTCTATCAAATGACTGATGATAAATACAGTCTTTTATTCTAACCTTAACTACTAATATTAACTCTCGTCTTAGATTGTACCACACACACACACACACACACACACACACACACACACACACACAACACACACAGAGAATCACTTTTACAATTGCTTTCATTGTATCTCATCAGTTTTGATAACTGTTTTCATTTGATTCTAGGAGTTGTTTCATTTCCTTCTTGATTTATTTAATAACAAATGCACCATTTTTCATAGTTTTCTTTCTACTGCTGTAATAAAACAACATGCTGAAAAGTAACTTGGGGAGGAAAGGGTTTATTTCAGCTTCCAGCAAATAGTCCTATAGTTTTTATGTAGCCAGAGCTTTTGAGTTTCTACTCAAAACAGGAACCTGAAGCCAGGATCTGAGGCAGAAGCTATGGAGGAATGCTGCTTTCCAACTTACTCTCCATGGCTTGTTTGCTTGTTTGCCTATACAATCCAAGACCACCTGCCATCACCTACAGTGGACTGGCCCCCTTCATCAATCATTACTCAAGAAAATGCTCCCACAGACTTACCTACAGGCCAATCTGAGGAAGGCATTTTCTCAGTTGAGCCTCCCTCTCCCCCAGATGAACCAAGCTTGTGTCAAGCTGACAACAAACTAAATAGTATACCACCCAATGTTCAGTCTCCATCAAAATGTGCATGTTCTGCTCTTGCTGTTGATTTCTGGTTTCACAACATTGTGCTCAGATAAATACATGATATTACTCAATTCCCCTCTGTTTGTTGAAACTTGCTTTGAGTCCTATCATATGACCTCTTTTAAATACAATTCCAAGAACTCCTGGGAATGGGCAATCTGCAGTGCTTAGACAGAATGATAATAATCTATAGATGCCTATTAGATCAATTTTATCTACTATGCTACTTAGCTCCAATGTTTCTCTGTTTTGCTATTGTTCTTGGAGTAACATATCTGTTGGTGACAACTGGATACTGAAGACAACAACTGTTATTATATTGGGATTAATCTGTGTCTTTACATCCAGTAGTTCTGGTTATATGAAACTGGATAATCCATGGTCTATGTGTACATATTTAGAATTGTTGATGAATTGTTCTTTTAATGAGTATGTAATGACCTTCTTTACTTCTGACTAATCTCAATTGGGATAGATCTTGTCAGACATTTAAACTACAGCACCTACTTGCTTTCTAGTTCCATTTGTTTAGAAGTCCCATTTCCAGTCTTTCACTCTGA